TTGATGCGAGCTTTGATACTCTTAGCAGAGCTTACGCCAAGACGGGTCACTTTCAAATCTTTCTGACCCAGGTTCTGAAACAAATAATCTGCCCAGGCGGTATGCATAAGACCACCCCCACGCATCCCAGCGACCTGAGCGCAAATGTGGAAATGACATAGCAACTCCCAAAAAGTGCTGTATATCTCTGGATGAGCAGCCCTCAAGATGGATAGCTCTTCAGTTGTTGGAACAAATTCTTCATAGGGCACTTGCCCAAAGGATAGTCCTGATACAGCATACATCTCGTGGAGAGCAAATCCTAACTCCCCAACAGGTGTAAAAAAGGTGCAGCTATCCGGGTTGTATCGCTCCAGCATAGCGAAGAAGCAGGGATAGCTCTGAGTAATCCCACGTCTCGTGGCCTGTACTGGTATCATAAGGCCAGACTGAGTAAGAGGCTCTTTGAGTTCCTCAAGGATAAAATCTACCATCCGAGTCCACCAACCATCTTCTCCAGAAAACAACCAGCCAGGAGAACGGAAGGCTTGTGTAGAAAATTCGCCTTGAGCGGCAATAAGCCGGCGTATGAAAATGTTCGCTGGAAGAGGTGTCTCCTGAGTGGGATCCTTTATCTCAAATCTACCAGGTCGCAGACCTTTGAGTTGTCCGTCAATCTGAACACGAGATGATTGACCAGAGCCAAACGAAACGTTCTCTTTCTCCTTGACGAGATCGAAGGCCAAGCCCCTACGACCACCAACACTCAGGAAGTAGGAAAGCGGGTACATTCTCTTCATGCTGGGAAGGAAGAGTAAACGATCATCGACTCTTCGCAGCATCCGGGAGTCTTCTACATACCCGACTTGCCCATCAGCAGATATATGATCACCAAATAAGAATGAGGGTTTGACAAATTGATCCAGACCCGCAGGAGTTTCCAGATCCAGATCGGTGATCAAAGCCCTAAGGGTGGAACACTCGGCAAACCTGATTAAATGTTCCCGCTCCAAACTCGGGAAAGTGCACAGAGGAATTTCTCTATGAAGACCAAAAGCTCTCCCCACTTCGGGATCATCAGTGTAGTTGAAGTGCTGCTCCGGCAGAAGTGGCACATTGGAAAAAAGCACTGTAAAAATCAAAAGCAACAGTTAGCAGTATAAAGAGATTGCTAACATGAAATGAACAACGCAAAGATAAAATCCTGCGTTACAACATTTGAACGCAGAGATAAAATCCTGCGTTACAACATTTGAACGCAGAGATAAAATCCTGCGTTACAACATTTGAACGCAGAGATAAAATCCTGCGTTACAACATTTGAACGCAGAGATAAAATCCTGCGTTACAACATTTGAACGCAGAGATAAAATCCTGCGTTACAACATTTGAACGCAGAGATAAAATCCTGCGTTACAACATTTGAACGCAGAGATAAAATCCTGCGTTATAACACCTGAACGCGGAGATTAAATCCTGCGTTACAACATTTGAACGCAGAGATAAAATCCTGCGTTATAACACCTGAACGCAGAAATTAAATCCTGCGTTACAACACTTGAACGCAGAATTCTAAGCCTGCGTTTCCAATTTTTAACACAGAGCTCCAAACTCTGTGTTCCCAATTTTAACAAAGAGAGTTAACTCTATGTTTCTTGAATGCAGAACTTTAAGCCTGCGTTTCCAATTTTTAACACAGAGCTCTAAACTCTGTGTTCCCAATTTCAACAAAGAGTATTAACTCTATGTTTCCTAAACGCGGTCTTAAGCCTGCGTTTCCAATTTTAACACAGAGCCCTAAACTCTGCGTTCCCAAGTTTTGACATAGAGAATTAACTCTATGTTCTTTAAACGCAGTCTTAAGTCTGCGTTTCCAATTTGTAACACAGAGCCATAACTCTGCGTTTCTGATGGAGAACGAGTCATCTTCCTCGTTGAGGAGAACCCATCTAGGGTTTTCAGAGAACTTGTCGAAACAAGTTGCCATAGCCGCCCCTTACCACGGCAACAAAGTTCATGCGACAGCGACGGCAATGTCGGAGCTCTTGTCAAAGCAGCGACATCGCCGGTGGTATCGGCCGACGGCGCCTCCGAAGTCGCCTTGACGACCTTCTTGGAACCCGAACTCATCCTTCTGGGCGCCATGCGGGTGATCTCAATCGGAGAAGACGGAGTTCGTCGGAGAGAATTGGCAGAAAATCAACAGAAACGAGAATTCTCGTTCTTGGAACTAAGCAAGGCAAAAAGAGTTGAATAACTCTTGATGTGACCCTACGGGGCTATTTATAACAGCCGTCGGGCTGTTAAATCAGATTGGGACTCTAAAACGTGATCATTACACGTTAATGGATAAAGTCGAGTAAGACTTTAACGCAGAATTACCTCTGCGTTCAAATTTTCCAAACGCCAGGCCTATCCCGATATTGCATGCATCTCATGGAGAGCAAACCCCAACTCCCCAACAGGAGTGAAAAAGGTGCAGCTATCCGGATTATACCGCTCCAGCATAGCGAAGAAGCAGGGATAACTCTGAGTGATCCCACATCTAGTAGCCTGTACTGGTATAGTAAGGCCAGATTGAGCAAGAGGTTCTTTGAGTTCCTCAAGAACAAAATCTACCATCCGAGTCCACCAGCCATCCTCTCCGGAGAATAACCAGCCAGGAGAACGAAAGGCTTGTGTAGGAAATTCGCCCCGGGCAGCAATAAATTGGCGCATGAAAATGTTCGCGGGAAGAGGTGTCTCCTGAGCGAAACCCTTTTTCTCAAAACAACCAGGTCTCAGACCTTTGAGTTGTCCGCCAATTTGAACGCGAGAAGATCGACCAGATCCGAATGAGATGTTCTCTTTCTCCTTGACAAGATCAAAGGCCAAGCCCCTACGACCACCAACACTCAGGAAGTAGGAAAGCGGGTACATTCTCTTCATGCTGGGAAGGAAGAATAAACGATCATCGACTCTGCGCAGCATCCGGGAGTCTTCTACATACCCGACTTGTCCATCAGCAGATATATGATCACCAAATAAGAATGAGGGTTTGACAAATTGATCCAGACCCGCAGGAGTTTCCAGATCCACATCAGTGATCAGAGCCCTAAGGGTGGAGCATTCAGCAAATCTAATTAAATGTGTCCGTTCCAAGCTCGGGAAAGTACATAAAGGAATTTCTCTACAGAGACCAAAAGCTCTCTCTACTTCTGGATCATCAGTGTAGTTGAAATGCTGATCCGGCTGAAGGGGCACATTGTGAAAAAGCACTGTAAAATCAGAAACAATAGTTAGTTGCAGAGAGAGGGTGCTAACATGAAATAAACACGAAGAGTAAATTCTATGTGGCAAGTTTTAATACAAGAGCTAACCCTTGTATTAATACTTGAACGCAGAGATCAAATCCTGCGTTA